GCATGCAAAATGAATTAGGCACACTAACACATTCTCACTTTTAGCTCACGNACGGTGCCACTGCTAAGGGAGCGGTGCGAGAGAGACAACTGTCAGTTTATCGAACCTTGTATTATTGAATCATGGTCATGAACATAGTATACAACTTTAAAAGTGCATAACACCACGGCGGTCCCGCGTCGCGTCGTTCGCGCATCCTCGTAATGCTTGAAATACAATACCGGCGAACGGCAAACTTCGCCGAATTGGGCGATGCTGTCGTTCACCGTTCGCCCAACTATTTCGCCTACTTAGACAGAATTAGAGCGGTAGCGAAAACAGCTGATCCCATTTGGTCGCCTTTATAATTTGGGTGACCATATTTAGAAAAAACTAAACCATATTTAGAAATGAGGAAATGATAACAAATATAAATGTAAAACAAAGAAAGATTATTATAAATAATTTGTTTCAAGCCAGATTTAACGAATCCACAACTATATTTTTCAAACAACAAAAAAAAAATCGTGTTTAGGTTGTTTTCTTTTTAAACTTTGAAAGCACAAAACAAATACGGCCACCTTTGGCACGCACAGCTGTCATCGCCCAGCAGAGCGATAGAAATAAATCTATCGCCATGAAACGCCGCCAAGCGAACTTCGCATTTGCTTTGGCTGTGTTCAATTTCATATGCTTGCGGGTGTTCTAATTTTGACAGCGCGAATTTCGCTGTGGTGAGTTCGCCGTTCGCCGGCATTGTATTTCAGCTATAAGTGTGTTTTTCACTTTACTTTTTCAGGAAGAAAATAGATAGAGCCTGTAGAAACCGTTTAGGAAAATCCGTAGTTACTGGTGCGCCATAGTACCCGTTAAACCCACGCAACTAGATAGTAAATTTAACGTTGCGATGTTCAGGCACCAAATTTATGTTTCAGCAGTTACGAATCAGGGCGAGATTCATCAATTTACATACATATGTAGCGAAAAGCTGTAAGTTTGCTAATTCTCCTACCACGACCGGATTTTCGAGAGAGTGAAAGCCAACAGCACGCACCATTTCGGTGATTTGCGCAACGAATGCTGGGGCAGGGGTAACTAAATTTTGTAACTTTTGGAGCCCTGGTGTACCCTACCTCGATCCTCGGTTCGTCTGTTGGGAAATGGGAAAACAATTAAACAATTAACTCTCCTTATTTTATTAAAGTTCAAATTTAACAAAAATTATATCTAAAGTTTTGAGTACGCGAAATTCATATATCCAGGTGATCTCAAATTTGAGGCGCTAGAACCGTAAACTATAATCTTTGCGCAACGCCAGAGTCAACATGTGCGACAAGGGCTACTAGTTGTGTTTTGAAGCTTGGCACAGCGAAAACAGCTGTCGTTAATCGGGAGGGTACGAACTGTCGAACTGATGCTAACTATGCGACACACACATATTAACAATTTGTCAAGGCTGTTTTTAATCAGTGTTGGCACTAATCGATTGATTTTTTAATCAATTAGTTAATTCGATTAAATTCAATCCGATTACAGTTAATCATGATTAATTTTAATCTGATGAAACAGTTTATCGTAAGAGCGATTAAACGATTAGTGATTAAAAAAATTAAATTATTAATCGTACAGTTGATTGCGATTCATTAATTTTAATCGTCAATCGCGATTAACATTTTAATCGTTAATCATATAAAAATTTTGCCAACACTGTTTTTAATGAAAAATTACGATTACGGCCAATAAATAGCAAAAAAATTATTTTATTATTTTTTAATTTTAATTATTGTTTTTTTTATTAAAATATTGTATGTTCTTTAACAAAAAACCGTATAAATCCAAGTTTCAATCTTTGTGCAAGATTAGAAATCGTCGCTGGAATAATGAAATAGTGTAACATGAAAAGTATAGTTTTGAGAAAAACGAATTGGAAGTTTTTATAAACCATTACAAACCCTACAAACACAATTTCGTTTTTCGCGAATAAATCAGTGAGCCAAAGAGATATATTAAGTTTTTTTCTAATAGATTAAAGGATTGTCTATCCAATGGTGCAATTATTGAATAATAGTGTATGTAGCATTTACACTGTTTCTTTATTCGAGCGACGAAATAATCATTTAGTTTTAGTAAAAATTGTATTAATTTATCTTAGAAATGCTTTCAGTTCACCGATGTGTAGCCCATTAAACTTGGTGTAATAAATATAGTGCAGGTATTAAGTAGCCACTGATTTTTGACAATTTTATTTTGTTGACATTGTCAGTAATTTTCTTCCCTACGAAATGTGTTCGACGATTTTTTAATGGAGATAATTAGTAACACAAACGAGCTAAGAGTGCAGCCCTACTGCGTACATACCTAAATTCTTTAAAAAGTATTAAAAAAGTTTAAAACTTTGTGGAAATTTTTTGAAAATTTACTCAATTATCTTTTTGAGCTTATACAATTTTTCCTTTTTTTGGGAACCTTATATTTACTTTTAGCTAGTTTTCCTTACGTAACATTTATTTACAGCAGCAAGAGAATCACCTCCGTTCAAAACTGCGGCTTTCATTGCACTTAGTCAAGAATTAGTAATAATTGAAAGCTCTGGTCTATTTTGAACAGTAAATTCCAGTTTGGCACCACTGTGCGTTGGTGATCGCAGATACATGTGCGAGGAAATCATTCGCAACGCCAGGAAAAAATTACCACTTTTTTTGAGTGAATGCTATTTTCCTTTACATAAGTGTACTCAAGTATACAGTATATTCGCGCAACTCTAACCTTTACCTTCATGTGTGTGAGTGCGCGTATTATACGATTTTTGTTCGCTTACAATTGTAATTATCGCATAATTACAATCCAATTGCTGTTCTATGCGCTACTTTATTTTGTATGCTTAAATATGTAGTAGATGTGCAAACATACGCTTGAAAAAGGACACAGAGGCTGCTCAACTCGCCGAATGCATCAGGGAGGGGAGGGCGACAGGGAATGCGATTTGAGTGTAGAAAGCAAAATAATCTTATCATTCAAAAGGGGATTAACATTTGCGCCGGTGTCGTTGATCCTTTTTGAGCGAAAAACATACATACATACATACATATGTATGACCATCTATAGCAACATATACATACATATTTATGTATGTATGTATGGTATATTGGAAGCCAAATATGTTTATATCAGAATGTATCTACTATCCCATAGTAATTTAATGGCAAATATTGTATTTCGTTTAAGGAAATCAAACACCGATCTTGATTTCAATGCTGCGCAGCTTGGCCCAATTCCCAAATGGCTGTCGACTAAATGAGACTATAGTAACTAGCTGCTTGACAGATTGGCAGAGCGACAAGCAGTCAGTTAGGCATCTGAGGACAATTTGTGAATTGACTCGCGATGCTTATCGCTGATGAACGTTCGCGAGCGTGTAACGCTTGCTTTGTTGTTTAAATGCGCTTACAATTTAATTTAAAAAATATAATTCTCACAAGAGTGCATATGTTCGATCGAAATCTGGGGGGAGGAGGGGAGAGAGGCGTGTTACTAAAAAAAAAACTCAACATTATTGTTGTTCCTTGTGGTTTGGCTTCCATAGCAGCAGCCATCAGCGAAGTGCTACAATGGGTGGCGGTAGGCGTGTCGTTGCAGGCACGTGCAGCTGAGAAATTAATATTACAGATTATCTCAAAATTATTTCATGTTTGCAACATGACAATTGTGATATTTGTGGCAGATTAATTTGGGTCCTTAAATTTAAACAACAAAATTAATAATGAATGCAAAAACAACCACAACCATGACAGCAAGCCGCCCAGTATTGCTCACTTAAAGCAATGGCATAGCAATTTATGCTTTGCACTTTTTCCTCCCTTCTCTTTGATTTCCTTCCACCTTCTAGTTAATGGGATATCCTGTAACAGACTACCGCCGCCGCGGGTCAAAACTGTCACTTCAAGAGCTTTATTTTATTAGTAGTACAGCTTGTAGCTTTTGTTGTGCTAATTACGGCCATTTAAATCAGCGAATTGTCAACCGAATTTCGCGGTAAATCATAGAAATATTGCTCGGGCCTGCCTTCACGTAAATAAAAACAAAAAAAATATACAAACATTTCGACCCAACAATTTAAAATAAACTTGCAGTAGTGTGTTCACAGAGTAGCCTGCCATTAACTCTGCCTAAAATGCCTATAAAATAAAGTGAAATAAATCCAATGACTGTGGCGCGCATTTGGTTGCTTACCTGCGGCAATGCGCTGCCTCACACACACACACACACAAACACAAATGAATTTGGCTTCTTTTACTCCATCCGCAGAGCGCTTGGTGTCATTTGAGGCGGAAATGCTGTGGTGGCCATGTTGATTTTAAGCTATTAACAGTAGACGACTCCCCACAAACGGTCGAGCAAAATAACAGCTAACCACCGGTCGCTTGGAGCGTTAAGCAAAAACAACGATAACAATGTATCGCATACAAGCCGCGTTGTCAGTGGTTTTGCTTTTGTTTTACCCCACTTCCACTTCCGCACGCAAAGGCGAAAGCTTTGGACACAGGCCACCCTCTTCTTGTTGCTCCATGTACACTGAACTCCATGTAGATATGCGTTGGGTTCATTTTTATGTATGTATGTATGTATATTGTGCGCTGCAATCCTCACACTCATGAAAATGTTGGTAATTTTTAATGAATTGTTTTGTGGATCTTTTGTGGTTTGACAGGTTTTGGTTGTTGCAAAATTTTCGTCCTTTTTTTGAAGGGTTGGTCGAGTTTTTTTTTTCGTTAAAGTTGTGGGAAATATGATTTATTAATGCTTTTGCATTTTGCTTTTTGAAGTAGGCAATAATTTTTATAAAGTGCTCTTTTAATGCACAAAATATGTTAAACGTAGACGTTTTATAATTAATATGCGTATGGAATTAAAGATTTGGCGTGCGGAAAGCCGAGCAATTTTGAATTTAATTGTACTCCAAACTCTTATGGTGATTTCGTTTCTTCAAAAAAAGTTTGCCCTTCCACGGTGCAAGAATGCTTTTAATGTTACACTCAACCCTTTAAAAGGGCACGTTTTATGTCTTATTGTCCTTGTCCAGCTCACGCATTTAAAAATATTGGTCTTCTTAGGGCAACCATCTTCCCTGACAAAGATTCAAAGGGCAGAGAATGTGCCTTTTTTGCCTTACTGGAGTGTTACATTTTAAGAAACGAACACAGAAAAATCTAAATTCGCCAGTAACACCACCTTGTATAAATTCGCCTTGCACAGTACCTTCAAGAATGAGTTTCTGGTTGCCTTAAATCGGCGATGGGCAGAGAGAGCAATTACTCTGCTGGTTGGTTGGTTGCAGTGCTTCCTAGTCGCTGTCAAGAACACAGTTAGCGCGTTTTTGCGCCATTTTGATACATTTATCGCAGGGTATATTTTGTTTATGCACATATGCACTATGCCGATTTAGCTTATGGCAGTTCCTGATAGATCGGTAGGAAATGCAAAGTAATCTCTCTTTGGACTATTCCAAGGGGGCAACCCCGTATCTCCACTTCGAAGTCATCTAAACCGGAGTCTGCCTTCACCAGCTCATCCACCTTCTCATTGCATTCTATATTCCTATGTCCGGGAACCCAGACAATAGAGATGGTAGTTGACTGAGACACTGAGCACAGCATCACTTTGTATTCCCTAATTAGCTTGGATTTAGTAGATTTTACAGGCTTCTTCGATTCCTAGAACTTCCGTTGACAAGATTTTTGTATCACTTCCCAATCGTAGAGAGAGAAAACAGAGTAGCCTTCCGCTCCCACACCGCAATCCATCTTGGTTCCGCCGGTGTATAGAGAGAACGCCTCTCCGTCGGCCACCCGGTTTCATCTCAAGCCCCTTCTGGATGCCAATAACACTTGCACGTTACAGCTGAAGTTCAAATTGCCTACATTGTAGTCTGTCGTCATAATTAATTGCACTTGATTTATGAGCAACCCATGTCCGAAATGTCTGGTCCCCCAAAGGCCCAACTCTCTGTGTCTGACCGCCCATTTCATAGCCACTTGTTTCAGGTGCTTCTGCTGGGCAGGATCTTAGTGCACCTGTACTTGCAATGTATAATGCATTTTTAAAATTGAGATGTTCAAATTTGCTTTCATTTTTTAAACAGTTTAATAGTGTTTCTCGTCTTAAAATCTATAATAAAAGGAATTTGTTTTTTGGAATAAGTCCGGTGGGTTTTGCATATTTTTTTTCGAAGAACACTATTTTTGACCATTTTATTTAAGGTCAATGGCAATATTTTTCCGTGAAAACGACATACATTAGCTTTCAAAACCTTTTTGTTTCATATCAAAATACAGCTTCTGTCGAAAGCACTACGATTAATTCCCATGGAGTGTTCAAAAAGCACACTGTGCGGCATGTGAAAGGACAAGAGATATATCTTAAAATCCTGTGCATATTTTTCAGAGATGAGTTCAGCAACAAAATCCATTAGAAATGACCCGCTTTATCTCAGAAAAAAATTGCATGTCGGTATGTGCAATTAGCACGAAATTGTTCCGGAAGTAGAATCACAATACCAAGAGTGTAATTGAAGTTCGTAACCAAACTGGGATTTCTCGACCGACTCGGAATAGGGGAACCAGTATACGAAATAGTGTTAATTGACCTTATTTCCGTTGATTTTGTTACCTTAAATAAATCTGGTTTACAAATATGAAAAACCTCATGTGGGGCGATTTAGTATGGACTTCCTGAGCATTTTTTAACTCGTTTCTTCGATAACAAAATATGGAAAGCCCTGGTAGCGAGCCCAAAAAAATTATTATTACAACGCTTTTATCAACTTGCAATGTTGTGCGTCCAGAAACTTTCAATGTTGTGGATCCAGAAACTTTCAATGTTATGTGTCCGACACCATAAAGCTTTGCTTTGAAAAGTTCCTATAAAAAATCATAGTGCATAGGGCGACATCTGTAGTGAATAGGGCGAGGTAGATGACATCTAGATGTCGCCCTATGTACTACGTTTGCTACAGCGGAAATAGACGACACGCCATTTCTTTAAATAAAATTAATTGGTGCTCGTTTGTATGTACATACATATGTAAATGCATGTGTGTGCACCTTTCTATTAATATCGTTGAATTATTTTAATATCTATTGCAAAATTTTATTCAGACAGGACTAAAAAGTAGAAAATAAATAATATAAAAAAAACTTTTTAATATACAACGCTTTTATAAATGGACTAAAAAGTAGAAAATAATATTTCTCAGTCCCATAGAATTTGTTTTGATAACTTTTGATTTTGAAATTTTAGCAAAAGTCATTATAAACAATCTATGAAATTGAAAATGAAAAGCGTGGGGCGCATGTAATACACTTGAATTGATATGAAAAGTAATATATGTATGTATGTATGTGGGTATATGAATAACGACCGCTTAAAATCGATTTCAAAGTTCTACTCTCGCTGTAGAAATTTTAGGTCTACGTTATGTAGTTTGACTATTGTCAATTAAATCGAATGCTTTGTATTGCATGCGCTCCACGTTTTTCATTTTCAATTTCATAGATTGTTTATAATGACTTTTGCTAAAATTTCAAAATCAAAAGTTATCAAAACAAATTCTATGGGACTGAGAAATATTTTCTACTTTTTAGTCCATTTATATAAGCGTTGTATATTAAAAAGTTTTTTTTTTATATTATTTATTTTTATTATTATTTAAAAATTTTGAAATTTGAAAATTTTTATTTTGTACGTAGAATACATGATGCAATAATACAAGGAGTTATCGGTTGGCAACTTTTCGCTCTAATGCCGCCATATTGACTGCCTTAGGGAAACAATGCTACTTCTTTAACAATTCTTTGCCTAATAATAGGTGCGTTCGTTTAAAATCTCCAGTTAAAACCAACCAACTGCCAAATTCCGGCGGAATGTCATCTGTTCTCTCACAAGAGAGAAATATCAAAAACAGTACGCGAACAGAAAATTTGCAGATACTTGCATGTTAGACGAACAGCTGATATAATACAAATACAAATACACATGATATAATTTTTGTTTACATTCAAAAGTGTAAAATTTAAAACGTACGAAAAGTCATCACAAAGAGTTATACTGACACAGTTTATTGATTAAATAAATAACTACTTATTTCTTACAAGTTTAATTAGTCGCATTTTGTAATTTTTAACTTCCAAACCATCAAATTCAATTTTGTGATTTGCGTTAATGGCAACCAGCTGTTTTTGATCAGCTGTTTTCCTGTTGGCAAATTGCTGTTGGCAAAAATTTTTCCAGCAGAAACCAGCAGCTCGCCTCAAATTGAAATGTCACTTTGCTCTCTCAATTTCCCCTACTTTGCAAGTTTTTTGCGTACGCGAACGCAAAAACTTGTAAGTTTTGGTTAAACATGAACAATTAACAGCTACGCGAACGCAACTAATATCGTTGAGTTTTTTTTCTCTCAGTATACACATTTTGTTTTCTCAAAAAGGTATTTTATCTTATTTTATTTCATTTCGTTACGAATATACTATAAAAAAGCAAATTTGGTTTAGAAGAAAATATGAAATTTTATATTTTTCCCCCAAATGGGGATTAATCTCTTCCCGTTTTTCTTCTTATTCTACTGAGCTACGGCAGTGCCAAATCGAGCTGTCACAACTGATACCACCTTGTAGGATGTTTTAAGGATCACCCTAATGTATATAATATTAGTATGTTTATATTCAAATCTGTGAATGGCATTATACATAATTAACTCAATGCGATACTCACTCATTCGGGTATTATTACAAATGCAAACAATTGTGTACGGTAAAAAGCAATCATAGAAAATATTAAATTTTGCATTTGTTATTAGGCAACGATGTGAGTGTGTATGGATATGTATGAGTGTGTTTGCCTCACTGTCAAATGCTGAAATAAGAAAATTTAACTATTCAAATTGCCCAGATCAGTCATGCATGCAAGATTTAAATCTAATTGGCTGCATTGATTAATGCCTTGGGCTACACGTTAACATATGTATGAATGTATGAATGTATGTGTGTATGTATGTATATAAAAGGATACTTAAGGACATACGATGTAGAAAATCACGCAAATGCAACAAAAATGAATATTAAGCGCTTCAATAGAAACACTTCCCATAAATGTATACATTAGACCGGGTCGGTCAGTACACGAAAAAAAATCCATTAATATGGCTCAAGTTTGAAAGCTAACTTCAACCGGATTTTGGTGTCTTAAACATTTCTGTGATGCGGGACGTGGTTAGAGGCTCCAAAGACTAGCAATTTTAAGGTTTGAAGAGGATTTTTGGGAGTTATGTATGTATATATAAATATCCTGAAAATCAATAAAAATTAATGAAAATAGTAAAGTTGAAAATTTTTTCAGTTACTGCTTTTTCCCTACAGTCAGTTTTCAACATAAATTCAAATATGAAATTAATTTTTCGCTTTAATTGCTTTCGTGAAACTGGCTGTAAGTATTTTCAAGGATATTTTACCTTTTGAAATGTTGCTACAAATAAAAACGTTATGAAGAAACTTCCCCTTTGATTTTTCAGCGCGTAGCGAAGGCGGACTATTTCGACGCCGATTCCCAAATCGTCTCAAAGTGAGCTTTAAAATTATGTAGAAGGGGATGGGTTGCAAGCTTTTTTTCGTGACCCAGCCTAGTGAACAAGGATACACTAATACATGCATACCTTGCATACGTTTATTTGACATTCTCATTTTCAAGTGTCAACACGCTGCGTTACCGTCAAGTTGCGGGTTAACGATTAGGCTAACTGCCGGTTACAGCAAATGCCCAGCTGCATATACATACATACATACATACATGGGCTTGTGCATATGTATGTATGGATGCATGTCAATAGCACTTGAGTGGTAGTCCTATAGCAACCGCAAAATATCAAAATATTAACAGCAGCTTAAGCACTAAAATTTTTACTCCTCAATGAATTTGTTGCCGCCGGGGCACAAAATGCTGGCGTCATTAAGCGGGATTACAGGCTGTATGCACAAAAATTGA